AGTTAAGTTAAGTTACATACATCGAGACTTTCTTAACTTAACTTACTTAACTTAACTTTACTTTACTTTACTTAAGTTAACTTAACTTACCTTACCTTACCTTAACTTAACTTAACGTAAGTTAACTTAACTTACGTAACTTAACTTAACTTAACTTACTTAAGTTAACTTAACTTAACTTACTTAAGTTAACTTAACTTAATTTAACTTAACTCAACGTAAGCTAAAAGTCTCGATGTATAAGTCTCGATGTATAACTGATCTATGTAAGTTATCCCATGTATTTCTCGAGGGCTCCGCACGGAAAAACCCTCCGCAAAGCTTTCGGGAAAAATCAACCGCACGTGCCAATCGTCTGCAAGCAGCTCTGCACTGCTCTTTCACACAGCTTCAGATGCCGCAGCTGATCCCCACAAAACGCAACCTTCCAAGCCGAAGCGTCTCCTCGCAGCCGTTGGGCGGACTCCCCGGAGACTTGAGCCCAAAAGGCTCGAGCGGTGTAGAGAGTACTTCAAGACCGCAGTCTGTTGGACTCTTCTCCTTGCTTTTTCAGAGACTACCTCTGAACCGCTGCAGGAGAAGAACATAAACTTCGACCCCTGGTGGCATGAGGACTTCTGCTCGGCAATCCTACGTTTCGTTCGTGAACACTGGCTTCGAACCGCGACTGCGACAACTAAATGAATTACGATTCCGACAGACCAACGTACCTGAACTTTTGGTCTAAAGCTTCCGTCACCCTTCGTGGTATTAAGGGCTCCACCCAACTTCATCCGACGGTGGCAAACCACGGGCGCGACTGAACTCTGCCTGCGAAAGCATCCACAAGGACAACTCATTCTGGCACGGTCTGAGCTCACTCTGATCCACGCCGAATATACGTGGCTTGGCGGAAGCGAAGCAAAATCGCAGCAGACTTGTTCCTTCACGCAGAAAGCGGCTGGTTTTAGGGGCCTCTGCCAGGCGCATGCGCCGCTCACTTGGCTGCGTGGCCGTTGCATCGAGATTAAGCTGACTACAGTCTGCGTTTTTTGGGATCGTTCCCGTCCGCCCAGTGATTCCAGTCAGTCCATTCTGGCACAGGCGCCACGGCCACAGGTGGCATCCCATTTGCGGTTAGAACTTCGAACGCTTGGGGCTTCTGCTCCTCATTCAAGACGCATGTGAAGCTTACCTCGTCACCGGCCTGAAAGGCTCTGAGCTGGCTTTCGCGAACGAGGACGTCCATCCCGAAGGTAGCCTCGATTTCTGGGCTCGCGATGTAGCCGAACCCCTGGGCACGGTCCACTTGCCTCACCACACCCCGGCAGCGACGCTCCATCATCCCCCGTGCAGGGGCATAGGTCAGCGCCGGACAGGCAAAGCCCACAACTGCAGGGCTCAGGGCTGGTCGCAGTTTCAACACCTCCAAGATGAGGTGCACGGCGGAATCGCCATCTAGCGCAGATAAGAGGTCTGTCAAAGACCTTGCGTCCATGTGTTCACAGCCAGCATGTGCCACAGCTGAGCCAGAAGCGGCGGCACAAGCACAAGTCTTCAAAGGAGTCGAAAGGGCTTCGAAACTCTGCAGAGCTGCAACAAACCAGCTCCAGCCTTGCCATTGCTGTGGGAGAAGCCAAACGCCTCGCCTTCGTTCTTCATCAGGTCGACCTGAACCCGCCCCTTCTCTGCTAAAGCTGCCAAGCTTGGGTTCGGAGGGCTTGGGAGGATTGGCGGTGCTCACCGGGCTGTGCCGCTGCAGCGATGTAAGACAAACCTTTATGCTCCACCGCGTGCCCCTATCTCCCGAAAGCAGACACACCTCCCAGGTGATGCAGCCATCTCCGTCAACCCGCTGGTTCACTTGCTTCTCCTTCGCCTGCTCAAGCATTCGGTCTGCACATTGGTGGATAATGCCATGGCAGTAGCAACTCGCGTTTTGCCTCAGCCCGCGTTTAAAGTTTAACAAACAGACCTGCGCCTGAGGACCTACACTCGCCGCTTCCTTCCTCTGTCTTAGGCTCTTGGACTTAGACCCCGTGCAGCTCGAGCCTCCATCTCCGCACGCAGCTTGGCCTCGAACTCCGCACGTCGAGCCTCCACAGTCGTTAAAGGAGATTTGCAGGAAGCTTGCTGCCGTGAAGTCGCCCAAAGCCCGTGAGCTTTCTTCAGCCCAAATCCCTCAATTCCTCATGACTCCCATACTGCTCATGCTGATCTCCTCTCAGTGTTGCATGAAGGCTGCGGCCTCTTCTGCCAAGCGCGCTTCTTCTGCAAGCCTTGCTTCTTCGGCAATTCGAGCCTCTTCTGCCAAGCGAGCTTCTTCCGCGAGCCTCGCTTCCGCCGCAAGGCGGGCCTCTTCCGCCATGCGCGCTTCTTCGGCGAGCCTTGCCTCTTCTGCGAGTCGTCGTTCTTCTGCACTCTTCGCTTCCTCGGCAAGCCTGGCTTCCACCGCAAGCCTGGCCTGCTCTGCTTGCCTCTCTTCCTCTATGCGCTTGGCTTCCTCGGCGATCTTTCGTTCCTCTGCTCGCCGTGCCTCCTCTGCCACACGCGCCTCCTCCGCAGCCCGAGCTTCTTGAGATCGCATGGCTTCTGCATGCTGAGCAGCATCCTCTTGTTGTCGAGCCTGCCCGAGCATGAAAACCACCATAACGCTCTCCCCCGATATTTGTACATAGCAATCCACCCTCGCGACTGTTTGGATTGCTTGGATCGAAAAAACCACACAGCGCACTGCGGCGACCTAGGGTCGGAAGTCTACAGCCAGTGAGTGGCAGACAAGTCAAATTGCCTCGTCGCCTGGCGGACCAGGCAACAGGACCTGCGGGAGGAGCATCAAGAAAAGGCTGAGAAAGGAAGCTAAACGCCAGAAGCAAAGGAAACATGAGAAAGAGATGAAAGAGAAGCAAGAGCAATAAGCGAGTAAGCTTGCAAAGAGACTGAGGTTCTGCTGCAGATTGCCGGAAATTTGACGAGGTCCACTAACTCGTGCAAAGTCTCAGATCAAACAGCTCATTGCGAGTCTCGAAGTCTTCCCTTGCATCACCACGACAAAAGCACAGGGCGAGCTGCATCGAATGTGTACTGCCAAAAGGTTTCCCAGAAGGCCAGAAACTCTCGAAATCCAATAGTTGCCTGCGAGGCTTCCTTCTCCAGTTCCAGGAGCTTTTGAACCTCCGGCGTTGATTCCGGTCGGTGGTCGTGCCAGGCACCCATTATTCGTTAGCATCGACACGAACACGATCAACTGCAAGACTGCGATCCTAACATAGCTATGACGGCGAAGCTAGGAAAGCATGCAGCCATGCTTTAGCCGGCCGGATCTCTTCAATGCTGAACTCCAGCCTGCGGGGTGGTCTCCACATTCGACTTCCTTAGCTGTGCCGCCACACACGGCTACCTGGAAGCTTTTGTTTGTTGCGCTGAGGCATGTGCCCAGCCGGGCTCTGCGGTAGGACAGTACCTAATCAGAAACAGTTCCGTGGTGCTCATACTTGGGACAAGGAGTTCCGGCAAGTTCCCGCGAGCTGCAAAGGGAAGTGCTGCATGTCAATGAGGAGTTGGATGAGAAGCCGTTTTACTCGCCGCTTGTGCAACCGTCGAAACAGGCCGAAACACAACACAGCACAAACTGACAGGACCTGAATCTTGACGGAACTGGGCAACCGCAAAACTGCTCTCGGTCCCGACGACTGCGATCCACAACATGCCCCGGCGCTTGCCCTCAGCAAGCGCAAAGCGAAGAAGGCCTGTGCCGGAGCGCAAGAAACGAAGCGTCATCCCTTCACATCGTCTTCCGCCAAGTTGCAGCTCGGATGCACTGTGCAGCCCAGCAGCGGGAGTTCATGTAGTGCAAGAAAGCTGCGCACGGATTTTGAAGCTCGAACGAATCGGGTCGTGCCACATGGGCAACAGTCCCACACACGAGCCCGGTCAAAGGTGCTCACGCTCGAGTGCGGCCACAGATGCCCTGGCATGCCCTGGCATGGAGCCGAGTGGAACCATAACATCCAAAAGGTCTCCCCTAGCGCCGCCCGGGGCCGTGCGCCAATTTCAAAGCTCGGGCCCGAGGACTCCGAAACGCCACAGAAGTCACGGCCGTGACAGCGGGGGGCGGCCTAAATCTGACGGCCAAACCATTGTCGGCCCGAGGAACTGCACAATTGAAATGAATTGAGACTGCTTCGACTGGAGCAGCTTTGAGCTGGATCGGTGTCTCCTGATCCCGTGTCGGCACGCATTGCTATCATGGCTTTAGGCTTTAGACATTTCAGCAATAACTTGCACTCCTCAGCCAAATTTGCGCGTCAAGAGAAGCCGATATTTCTGAATACACAGATATTGTGCAATGTTTGAAGCTCGCCGGAACCATTGTCCCTCCAAACGAAATGCACTGAGACTTGAAAAATGCCATCAATGGGCGCATGCTGCGAGGTGCGGAAAGCATTCTTAGCGAGTTGTCCCCGGACCTGCTGCCCGAGGTGGCAACACGTTCCGCCGCCGATATCCACTGCAGGACGAACTTGACAATCATGCTCCGCGCCTGTGTGACAGCAATGGGATTCTGAGCCATCAGGGCTGCATGCAGATCAGATGATGCTATTCACAAGTTCACCAGGCTGTGTGAGTGCCGGGATGGAAAGTGTAGGGCTGCTTTAGCCAGGCGGTCCGTGGCTAGCATCCCAATAACACGTCGCAAGTTGCAGAGTCAAAAGCGGATTAGCTTCCCAGCCGAACTTTCCATTCCGCAACTTTGGTGACTGAAATGGCACAATGGCCCGCTTACAAACACGTTGGAAATCATATAGAACCCGGAAGAGTTCAGCGAATTCACCTGTTGTGCTTGCTGTGCCGGGCAACCTGCGCTTTCATGTGACAGATGCAGGCATCAAGCGCACACCGTTGCATTCTCGGGTCGACAACAAGAGACTTCACTGCATTCAAGCTTGGCAGCCGTGACGAAAGGTATTGTTGGGCTCTTTCAAGGGCAGCCCACCTGACCAGACGGATGGAATAAAGAGTCTATTAGAGCCGGAGTCACCTTGCGCAAGCCATTGAGCCACTGACTTCTCCAATCTGCAACAGGAGGCTGGCGAGGGCGAGCCCCAGTGCCTATACTGCGAAACCACCAGCTGAGTGCTGGCTCTGGCTTCATGAAACTCATGGCTGGTAAAAGGTGGCAAGGCTCCACGAAATTTGGTAACTGAGGTGGCTCACGGACTGAAACTACCGCCGGCAGGGTGGTAGCGACGCACTGATGGCATGTTCGGCAGGTCAGACGTGGCGTCTCCCTGAATCATGCAACCGACCACAGCTACAGCGTGGAGTTGGCGAATGGAAGGACGGGCAGCGCTATCCTACGCAAGAGTGTGCTCTGTCTGCCAGAGACTCTACCTGGACCTGGCCGGACCTGGCCGGAGGCCTCTTCCCATGTACCTGAAAGCTACTTGTAAGGACTTCCGTTTGGCGGGCGATGCCAGCTGTGCGGCGAGTGTAGGTGTGCGCGTGACGCTGCAAGACGTCGGCCTACGCTTAGAGTCTTAGAGCTCGCATCCTTTCCCAATGCTCACTGCTGCGTACCCTGCTCCTACATCCATGTTGTTTGTCAAGTTCTAAACTCTCTCGCTGTGTGTCTGTTTCTACCTTGCCTGGGAGCCCGCTGGGGCGAAGTGAAGTCCATCCGGATCCCAGTATTGCCCGTGCACCTCGACTCATCCGATGCCATCTGGACATCTAGAAAGCACCTTGACGAGCCTAATCTGCCATGCTGACTGATGCAGCCTGTGCAGCCGGTTCCAGGCAAGGCACAACAGGCATTATCTCCTGAGGTCAGAGCTGGTTGCGGTTGAACGGTGTGACCACTGCTTTGGAGCACATTGTCGTGGCTCAAAATACTTGTCCCAAAGTAGCCATACGAGAGGTTCCCTTGTTTTCGTTGGATGTCCTTGTAGGACGTGTATTCCCCAATGGTCCGGCACGCTAGCCATGCTAATCGCAATGTCGCAATGCATACGAGTTTGTTGTGCTCGGCCTCACTGTCGCTTCTCAAGTTTCTCGAGTGCCTTCGGTGGCTACACTGATTGGTACGCGGGGATTGAAAATATCAAGTTTGAGATCCATCAAAAAGATTCGGGAAGTCATGGCCGGCACAGAAACGAGATTTGGCCTCATCTGAAAAAATACTCCGCATTTCTTTATTTCTCTCTCCATGTTTGCTCGAATCCCTGAATTGCTTACTCGTCATCCAACTTCTCTCGACCTTAGCTTGCGTTTGCCCCTTGTCGGAGCATCTTCATTCTCCGGACAAAGCCCGCTTTCGCCGGTTCGTTGCCGTTCTCGGCCTGACTTCAGCTATTACTCCGAGGTTGACTGGTCCTCAATGTGCAAAATCAAAAGAACAAAGGTCTATCGGGTGGAGTCTCATGCCACCCAGATCAGCTCGTCAAGCCAGGCTGCTGCAGGATCAATAAATTCTCGAACATATGCGGAGTGCTGACAGAAGTTTCGAAGCCTGAGATCGACATTCTCTGGTACTGACAGCTAAGACAATGCCTCCAGCACTCTGTCCGCACATTGAACCCTGCACGCTTCTTGCATCCGGCCAACAGAGAAATTAGCATCGCGCGAAGTCGTAGCACTACTTGTTAGAGTCCGTAATCTTGGCATCCCAACCACAACCCAAACATCCCCAAAAACCCCTAAAATTCTGAGGCCTGACAGTAAAGCCAAGCGACTCTCCGACAAGGAGCTGGCGCTGCAGCTCCTGGAACTCGGCTGCAAGGCTGGATGTGTTTGGGTTAACATGCAGCCTAGCCCATACAGTGACGTGTCACACTTGGGCGCTCCGAAGATGCCAAGGCGTGCGCAGCACAAGGGCGGACGGCACGAGTTGCCCATTTACTGTCACACGGAGTCCGACTCAGGGGAAGCCACCCTGCCAAGCTGGTGTTGCCCCTCCTGCTCCGGAAAGCTTGGTGCCGGAGGTGGTGCCAATGCGACCGTGGGAACGCCTGCTTCAAGCATGGGAGTCGGAGCTTCGAAAAGCATCAGAAGATCGACTCTCCATTACGTTTCTGACCATGGCCTCGGTCATGACAAATGCCGTGCAATCTCTGCACATCCTGGCGACTCGAAGTTGCACAACTCGAGAAGCCATTGAAACCCGACTGGTTCGATAGAGCTAGCAAGCACACAGAACCCAGGTGTTACATGCCACTCCTCTGCAATGACCGGGATTTCTGTCCCTAGGCCCATGTCGTTCGTGCCAGACATGATGATGACCAAATCCTTGGCATGTCAGCAGTTGTGGTTGCCGATGGGCCAGCAGCTGATTGCATCTTCAACTTGAACGCGCCAGCGTCGCCCGGGCGCGGAAACAGAGCAGGAGCACAGGGAGCACTCGGCATACCACAGAAACTTTGAGAGGAGGCCTAGGGCCTGGGAGCTCTGGGACCCTGGGACTGGCCATGAGCTCGAAGGCCGATGGCCCGATACTCGGAAGGCTCTCCTCCTCCGTGCCTGTGGGCCAAGGCCACATCAATCCACTCGCCCAGTCATGAATCCCAGGGCCTTTCTCTCGAGCTTCCTTCTGCTACTTACGAAAGCACGCGTTCCAAAATCGTAGGTAAGCAGGTCTTGCCGAAGGCCTATGAGCTGGAATCAGCCTATTCGAAGCAAGCACTCGCAGCAGCTTCTCGACTTCCACACTTCTCTGCCGTGTTATACACTATGACAGCTCTCCGAGCTATCTCTGCGTGCAGCTCAAACGTCATAGGATCGGCGATCCAGGATCTGGGAAAGCGCGTCTCCTGCCAAAGCGCAGACTGGCTGGAGTCGCTTGCATCTTGCGATTCGACTTGCCCTCCAGTTACACAGCATGCAGCTCCTCGACAGCCCAAAGCATCCACCAGTTGTGACCTGCAAGGTGCTCTTTGGAGGTCTGCTCTGCAGCTCGCGAAAGCAACGTAACATTCGGCCAACGTGCAAAGCAACACTGGTCTGCACTCGGATGATTCGCTACACCTGCGGAGGTTAGGGGTGTACATTCGCGCAGCGTGTGATCTTAAGACTTCGCTAAGCTGGGCAATACAGCACCACACCATCGCAAAAGGCAAAGCGGGCAGCAACACGAAAAGGAAACTTGACACTTGCTTGAGGCAATTTTCAGTTGGAGATCGGATAAGTGAATGTGGACTGCTGCAAAACAACCTGTCCTGCCGGAAGCAACCCCCCATCGCGTACTGAGGCACCAGCTGACTATCCGAGGCCTGCAAGCAACGGGATGGAGCTTTGTGACGCCGATGTTCACGGTTCCCCGCGGCCAGCGGGTCAACATCTTGCGGTAATGTTTTTGTTCCGGAGCCTTGGACCCTCTTTGGATCAAAAAATGGCCTTAGGAGACCTTTACGAAACAGCTGGGCGATCAGAACTTCACAAGGGAAAACTGCTGGCAAAATTCAGTGCAGAGGCTCTTCAGATGTCATACTCGCATTGCATTTGGTTGAGACTCCTTGTCCGGCAATCGGTGCATTCTCACCATGTAAGCACAGACAACAAGCGGAAGGCACAATCGAAGAGAGCAGAAGAGCTGAGACAAGGAACCGACATTGGCAACCCCAACAATGCGAGCTCAGCTGTGTGTTCATGTACATCGGAGTAGCTTTGCAAAGCTTGAATCTCTCGCCTCCAGCATCTCGCGGCTGGTAGCGCCGCTGTGGCCGCACACCGTAACCTGCAAAGCAACTGACATGCCATCGGCACCATTGCAGCCGGCACCCCGTCCGGCCTGGCAAGAGACGCCGGCCGCTGCCAAAGCCTGCAACCACGCCGTTGCAACGGCTTCTGCCGCAACATCTTTGCCTCACCTCGCCTCTCCACTAGGAAAATATTCCGGTGGCCTCAGACATGGTGCGGCCGTATGGGTCGAACTTGTGGCCCCCCGCGAAGAAGCCAGCAGTGAGGCTGTCCTTGTATTGTGCTCGTAACTAATACTCGGAGAAGGCAACTCCCTGTCCATGCTCCTGACCGTCCTGTCCTAACCGCCAGCGACAGGCTGGAACTAGGAAGAACGACCAATCCGCGAGAACAGCTTCCCAGGCTGAGGCCAGCCCCTGTGTCCCCACAAGCAAGATCTATCTGAGCATATACACCTATGTACACCTGCTTGGGGCTGTGACAGCCATAAGCTTAAGTTTGGCAGAACGGCGCCGTAGCACAGGATTCGCCGTGTTGGATCCTGTGCACCTCAGCTGGCGCAACGTCAGCCACACCAAGTCAAATTCGAGTTGTTGACATTCCTGAATATCTAGACTCTAGACAACAAATGCACCAACCACAAGGCACTGTGCTGGAAGTCCACGGGCATCGATTGCATGGCCTGACTCGCGCGACAAGAAAAGCGAATCTAACACTTAATAGAGTCTAGATCGGAGCTCTGTCGAGTCGTTCGAATCAAGCACCGGGTACCCGCTATGGTCATTATGTCGGCCAGCTTTCTGAATCTCGCCTGCTTCAGCATGGAACCGATGTCTGGAACCAAACCCCATGCAGGTGGCACGGTGACCTTATACACAAATCAATTGCAGCGACAACATCAAGAAGACATCAAGTCTAAGCACCAAGGCGCTGCAACGGGTACTGGCACAGGCTGCAGCAGCGGCACGGGTTGAACAACCTGTTCATTTCAGGTATTCAGTGGACTGCTGCAGTCGAGTGCCCTTGAATCAGACAAGGCACCAAGACTGGAGCTGCCACAGCACATGGCCAATCGAGCATGGGAACCTCTGGAACTTGGAACGTGGAATTCGGACAATTGAATTTCAGGTTGCGACGACTTCGACGGCTATGAGAAAGTCTGAAGCTAACTGTGCATTGCCAGAAAAACTCCTCCCAGCCAGCCATAAAGACCCAGCTCAGCGCATTGCACCTTTGCACCCTTTCTTGCCAGGGCCCCGGCCACGTGCGCTGTCATATTGACTGCTGCGGTTCTAGATCGTCGCAAGACGGCGTGACACCCATGCTTTACCCCCTCAAGCCAAATCCACGGAGGCGAACAAAACGGGACAATGCGCGATGCGATGCGGCTCGGCTACACTCGTGAACATACGTCAGCAAGCCTGGAACAGTTGCGGGTGGACCTGCAAACAGCGCGACAGTTTGCAACGGGAGCAGGGCCAGCACACTACTCATGACATCCTTGCCAGTACAAGTACTACCACTATCACAACTACCACTCACCACCACCACTGCTACGACTACTTCGGCGACTACGACGACTACGACTGCGCCCACGACTACGACCAATCCTACGACCACGACTACCACTACCACCACCCACCACCACCACCCCCACCCCCACCACCACCAGTACCACTACCACTACTACCACTGCTACCCACTACCACTACCAGCACTACTTTACTGCCAGTACTACTACTACTACTACTACTACGACGACGACGACGGCTACTACTACTTCTTTTGCTACTACTTCCACTACTGCTACTACCACTACTACTAAACTTCTACTACTACTACTACTACTACCACCACCACCACCACCACCACCACCTACTACTACTACTACTACTACTACTACTACTACCACAACAACCACCACCAGCCATCCCCCCTGCCAACTACCTAGCCCCCCAATCCACCACCATCAACATCACCATCATCGTCATCATCATCAACACCATCATCACCCTCCGAAATCCCAAAGTCGAGTCGCAAAGTCCAGAAGTAGCTTTGGCGACTATGTAAGAGTGTCCGACATCACGAAAGTACTCCAAATACCGAGTAGAACGGCTCTCGTGGAAATATTGCCCCCCCACCCCCCCCCCACCCCCCCCGCCCCACCCCCCCACCCCACCCCCCCACCCCACCCCCACACCCCCCCACCCCCACCCCCCCCACCCCCTCCACCCCCCTCCCCCACAATTTTGGGGGCCTGACCCCGCTTCTCTAAACCGGTTCCCGGCGACACCCTGCAACCCGGCCGCCAAAAACGGCCGGCCAGACGGCCGAAACGGGGTCAGGGGCATTTTGACTGTAAATAACGAGGAATCGTGGACGTGACCCCGTTTCTCTAAATCGCTCTAAATCGCTCTAAATCGCTCTAAGCCGCCCCCCCCCGGGCCCTCCGAACGCCCAAAAAGACGACCCGAGCCAACCCGTGTCCCAGGTGCACACCGGCTGGCCTCGGAACTCACTTCTTCGGCTTCTTGGACGGCGTCTCAGTGCTCTTCGGGTTCGCGCCAGGCTTGAAGAAGTCGGATCCTATCATTTTTGTCAGAAAGAGGGATACCGAAATTTGGGGTCAGCGAGGTTAAAAAGACATATTCTATTAGAATGCCATGTGAACCATCAGCCATCAACACCCAAATTGGCATCGACATCAGCAGCATCAGCCTCATCATCACCAACATCGTCATCATCATCAATCATCATCATCATCATCATAATCCTCATCCTCATCCTCATCCTCATCATCGTCGTTTGAATTGTAATTCCTCTACACCAGCATCGTCATCATCAGTGGTGTCGGTATTGTTACAACTATTCCTTTTGTTGCTTTTGTTGTTATGTCGCTGTTGATTGATAAACTAACACCATTCAGTTTACCATTTGTCAGTTGTTTTTATTATTCTTGTTGTTGTTGTTGTTGCTGCAAGTTGTTGCTGTTGTTGTAGTTGTTGCTGCTGCTGCCGCTGCTGCTGCTCTTGGTGGTGGTGGTGGTCCCAAAGTCACTGCATCTGAAACACAACCTTGATTCGATTCAGGGATTGCACTAGGCATCTGTTGTCAAGTTGTTGTTAGTGGTTAGACAGACATAGGCTTCTGAACTTCACTACTTATAATACAGAATGTGATCTTGACTTAAACTAAATTTGACTAGAGCAAGACTCGGAAAATCGAAATGAATTACATCAATAGACATAACATATAGTAATAATATACTAAGTCACCAGTGACTTGAGGATGGCTGGCTGAGTGAGTTGGCATTTTCACTCATTAAATCATGTCATGAGTTGAAGAATCACAGGTCCAGGTTAAGTAAACCATAAAGCCAAATTCCTAGTTAAATGATTAAAATTTAACCCTACTTTTTAAACCCTGGGCCCTATCTAAATCCTAATTCCGAAATGAATCCAAAGCCCAAATAAATTAAAGCCGAAACCCTATGATAATGGCTATTGTCACACACAATAACAACTCAGCGACAACTGACATTTATTTATAGGCAAACCACCTTACATTAACTTGAGTCTAAGTCTAAGTACTTTAATAATAATAATAACAATAATAATAATATTGAGAGGCTTTGGGTCCAGATTTGGAGCCTAGGCTTTTTAACAGTTTTTTTCAACGGCTTAACACTACCCTCACTCTGCTTAATTAACAGTGACGAGGGCAACGACCAAGAGTCCGGTTGATATTGCACACTAAACTTAATTAATTAATTAAGCTTAGGAACCAGAGTAACACTAACAACTCCCTATTCTTATTAATTATTGAATGAATCATCGTGCCTGCAGCCCTCTTCTGATTCTTGTCAGTGTTCTCAGCCTCCTTTCCAGCCTTCGACTCCAGGGCGGGGGGTGGGACTGCCTGCTGTGGTGGCTCGCTTGTGCCTGTGCTGACAGGTGCTGTAACTGGTGCCAGGGCTGCCAAGCTCACAGACTCCTCTGACGCCTTCCCATCATCAGCAGTCGCCTGTGCGGATGCGTTGCCTCCGGAGCCGGATCCTGATTCGATCTCAGCCTGAGCAGCCTGGGGCTCAAGCTTGGCGTCCACAGAACTTTTCAGGGCAGCCTGGGTTTCGAGAGCTGCTTTCTCCGCATTCTTCGCCAACCGTGTCTGCTCCTCAGCTTCAGCCCTCGCCTTTGTCAGCTTGGCCTGCTCGAGATGCATCTTGTCCGCATAGTCGGTCTGAAGCTTCTGAAACATCTGTGTGGCGAGCTGCTCAGCCATGCTTCGAAGTCTCTCGTCCTCTTCCTCCTTCTTCCTCTGCTCCTCGATCAACTTCTGGCGCCGAGCTTCCTCCTCGGCTGCTCTGGCATCCTCCTCGGCCTTGAGTGCAGCCGCTTTAGCATCCTCCTCAGCCTTGCGGGCTGCCTCCTGCTTCGCGGCTTCCTCATCCTGCAAGGCCTTGAGCCGCTTGGCCTCCTCCTGCTTTGCCTGCTCCTCAGCCTCTTTCTTGCGCTTCAGCTTCTCCTTCCTCTCACGCAATTCCTCCTCCGCCTTCTGAAGCTGCAGCTCTTCGTCATCTTCACTCTGCATGGTGGGCCCTGCCGTCAGAGGCGGGGCTTCTGTGCTGCTACCGCTGGTGTCCTTGGCTGTGATCGGGGGCATTGCTCCTGTGGGGGTGGCATCCTGAGCCTTCTCCCTCGATGAATTCGTGAGGGCAGCTTCTGCAGCCTCGAACTCCTTGCCTGGGATGGGGCATCACTCACACTCACCTTAATTATTTAATAACTAAGCCATGAATCCGTAGTCAATATAATATAATTTGTAGAAGCTCCATAATAATACATAATTGGGGGTGAGGCCTTTAATTTTATAGCATAAACTGAATAGTCACTTAAGTATTATATTATACTTATATAATAATGTAAATAAACTTTAGACAAATCATAATTAATAATACAGTCAATAGTGGAACACTTCATTATATTGGCATCGTCATCTGTCAGAACCGTTGGAGTTGGAAGCACCCCAGCTCGATACTCAGTCAAATTAGTATAAAACTTCAGGCCGCAATAGAAATATACGATTTCTATGTTACAGACAAATCAGCACTAAGTGCTGATATTGCATCACTAACTGAGTGCACTAAGGTCCTGAGTGAGTCCGGTCAGTAGTCTTTCTGAATTTCTGACAGACAGATGAACAATAATATATAAGAATAATAACAATAACTATTAAATTATTTGGTTAGTTCAGCAAGCCTCCTCTGCTGCATCCCAGCCTGAAACCCGGAGCCTTAGTTACATACTATTTAACCCAGGGACCCAAGACAAGAAGCTAACAGCAACTAACTAATGACATAAGAAATACTACTAGGCAACTTGTCCTTCATATCTGCTAACTGTTAGTTAGAACCATGACCAGCCCCTGGACCTAGATCTGAGTGAGCAGCATTCCGAATTCCTTCATATGAGAAATCTGACATCCTGGAATCCGCCATATGTTGCAAAGTACTACAAAATACCTGGAAGGTATAGGCTGTGGCTGTGACAAGCAAGCCAAGTAGGTAGGCCTCAGCAATGATTAATCTCGTGATGTCATGTGGGAACGATTCCGATTTTCTTTAATGATTGTCATTATTGTCATTATTGTCATTGGCCCACTGCATTCTTACTTTAGTCTAAACGCGGGTTCTCTGAACCAGACCGGTCGAATTTTATCATATTGTTATTGTTGTCAACTCAGTCAGTAGTAACGTAACTAAGACAGAGACAGTCCGACAGTAACAATAATGATGAACAGCCGAGATCAATCGATGCAGAAGGATGATGTATGATAAAGCTTATTTATGTATTTAGCTATTTACCTAACTAAGTAACTATCAGCTCTATGAGTCATTCCGTGTTTGAGGTCATAATGACTGAGGCGGAGCCTGAGCCGAGCCTTGGCCTGAGACTGAGACCCTGTCACTGTCCCAAGTTGTTAACTTGAAGTTTATAACTACTTTATAAAATGCCCAAGTAATATTAACTAACTAACGGGGTCGCTCTGTTACTTTCACTGTTTTGAACAGGATTCGATTCATCATTGACTTGATTGGGATTTTAGGGGTTTAGGGTTTATTTAGTTAGGGTTTAGTAAGTTAAGTAAGTAAGGGCTTAACTTAGGTTACCATCCGATCCCTGGCCCTATTATTTCAGGCCCTGGTGACTTGAGACTCAGGCCTCTATTTAAACTCTAACCTTGGCTTGAATTGAAGGTGTATTACAGTACAGGTTACAAGTTATTTCGGCCTAGCTGCGGGTCAAGAACCGCGGAATCCGACCA